AACAGTAGACAAGTATTTATTCCAAGAAAGTCACAAAAAGACATCTTATCAAAAAGTGTTTAATTGAACTTAACTGACAGCTTTCTAAGGAAGTCTTCATTGGGGACAAGAACAAATGGACAACATACAAACAACAGAAGAAGAGCAAATTCTGCTGATCATAGCGACTATACAGTGAAATCTTTGAGCCTAATTTACAGCAGTGCTCTGAAAGAAGGGGCAGAGAGAAAAATGAGGTGGTTAAAGACCAAATGATGTTTTGCCTGATCAGATGGAAAAGATGGGTTAGGAGAATGACCATTCCTCCTTCACCTCCTCCTTTGCTCCATTTATTCTGAAGTGATGGTGAGGGTGAATGACAGCAGGGTGGAGGAGAATGGAGACTGATGGAGAGGAGAGTGACAGGTCCATCTGTCACTCAGCCACTTTCTGGTTTTCTTGGTCTCTCGTTCATTTTCTCCCTTTCTGGTCAGCATGGAGACAAATGAAGGGATGAAAGATGGGAAGTGGTCATCGCTACTCCATGGCTTCCTGATTCTCTTGGTCTGCGCTGATCTCCTCGCTGGCCTCTTTGCCCTCCTTGCTCCTCTTGCTCTTCTTGTGTTTGTGCCGTCTGTGGCTGTCCCCCTCCTCGCTGTCGTGCCTCCTCCTGCTACTGCTGCTAATGAAAGGTGAAGAGGACAGGAGAGAGAAAAAATGATCGGAAGAGAAGGGCAGGTGTAAGGAGATGGGAAGGAAGAGGAGGTGAAAAAGAGACACGGACAAAAAAAATGTTGAGATCAATACAGATGAAAGGTGAGAAGAAGAGAAATAGAGAAGAGAGGGCAAAGACAAAGGAGAACGAAGAGAGGAACCGTGGGTTAGACAGGGCGGAGAGGTGGAAAGAAAATAAAGTATTAAAAACTTTCATATTTTCAGGGTTTGTCAGTTGAGCAATTTTGTTCCTCTGATATTTCGATCCTCATATCACACATATGACATTTTTAATGACGTCAGCAAATTGTCTGAAAATTCTTGGGGGGATTGTTGTTGCTGTAAACTGTGACTTCAGTTTACAGCTGACTTTTTAATTGTTTAAAAACACTGAATCTCAACGTTTTAGAAGGACAGATCTCGATAAAACTAACACTTCGTGAGCTGCTACTGCTTTTAGTTTAAACTCTACTTTCATATGGAACAACTGAAAATTCGTAAAAGCTAAAATATTTCTGTTTAACTCACATGTTTACATTTCATTTCACAGCATAAGCTTAGCTCTAGAACACCAACGCTACGTGATTAAAAGTCCAATCATCTTGGAACCCTGTGTGTGTTGTCTACGCAATAACAGCCAATATTTTAGGGCTTCTGGTTTAGTTGGTGTGTATCAGGACTAATACTTCCTGTTCCTCCCAGTGATCAGTGTTTAAGGATACAGATATTATTCATTAGTTCTAAAAATAAAAAATTGCAATAGAGTTTATTTAATGCAATCCCTTTTTTGCCTGCTCATATATGATTGCCCTGAACAGGAAACCACAGAACCTCCAGAATCAAAATTTGTTGTCTGCAGAAATGCATGAATATTTACATAAAGTATCCATTTATAGTATTCACAGGAGTTAAACTAAGCCCAATAAATAAAACAGAGAGCAACTTTCATCAGCGTTAACTATGTGAC